ATGGTTTTCTCCAAAGTCTCATTGGTAATTTTGAATTGGTTTATTTTCTTCAATCCTCTTCAGTATTTTCATTAGTATTTTTTCAAATAGTTCCGATAATATAGTCAAAAGAAATATTGACCTATATGATGAATCTTCGTTTGGAGGTTTTTCTGGTTTGGGGATCATAATAACTTCAGCTACTTTTTTTTTCTTTTGTTGTCTACCCATTCCCTTTTGCAAGATCTTCTTCATCATCAGTAAAGTATTCAGTGGGCTTAATTGCATTGTTTATGTTGCTAGCCATACTTTATTCTATTCCTGTACATTTATTAATTAATTAAATTAAAAAAGTTAGTGTTCTTTTATCACGTCTGGCTGTACATCTTGTGTAAACATAACCACTCTTTGCATCACTGAGCGTAGATCATAAGAGATAGTACTGCTCTCTTATTGGCTGACATAACCCGAGCACATAATTACTGCAAAATTGTCCAGCCACTTTTAGAGAGCTACAAAATGCTTGGTTGTAACATGAATGTCAAAGTAAATTTTTTGAAAGGTCTCATTGATAACTTCCCGAAAAATCTAGGTGTAATCAGTAATGAGCAGGATGAGCATTTCCCTGAGTAACCTGTATATCGAAAATAAAATTTATGTATTGTATTTATTTACTCTATTTTTGTATAAAATAAACTTTCAGGCATTTTATTTTATCTTTGATTTAATTTCATATATAAACTTAGCCTCTGCTCGTTGTAGACAAATTTTATTTTATTTTTTTGAATAAATTTCGCTTTACTCTTGATGAATTTCTACAGATACGCACACATACATTTTTTTATATCCTGAGGCATCAAATGATGAAAACATGAAAACAGTGCAAAACGAGATAAAAAATTTTATCGGAGAAGTTTTTTTTAAATTACCTTGCTTTTCTTTGGAGAGACATTTCGTTTATTAAGTCAGAATTTTGGCCTTTTATATATGCAAAATAGACGTAAAAGAAAATAGTGCCTAAGGAATAAAAGAAAATGACTTGTCCTCTTTTTTTTTTAATTATATCATTAAAAAAGTTTGGTATACAGGGTGTCCGATTAATGAGTAATTGTTCAATATTTCAATTTATGTTATAGACACCAAACAAGTTTCAAATAAAATTTATGTGGATATAAAAAATACTTATTATTAAAATATTTTGTGTATACAAGGTGTTGCGTCTTAGCCTGCCAAATAAAACATATATTTTATTTCAGTTTTAAAATGGGTTAATAATAATGTATTTAACCATAAATTTTTTTTTAATATTAAATGGTTGTCAAATAATTAATTTTTTTATAAAATTAGAGAATGATGCAGACTTCAAATCTAATTATCATAATTCAAGTAGGTTTACAATGATTTAAAAATTATTTAAAACACAGATTTATAAGATAGTAAGTTAACGAATAATAGTGATAGAGCTTGAGTATTTTATACAAGGTGTTTTGAAACATGTCTTAAATATGGGTATTTTTAAGTTCAATTTCCAAAAATTTTTCGAATGCAACACCCTGAATATTATTTAAAGTAAAAATTCCTTTTAAATTGACTTATCCAACGATAACAATATGTTAGCCAATAAAATATATACAGGGTGTCCCATCAGTGCGTAATTGATCAATAGCTGTTTTATTATTGGAAATACGAAAATATAAAAGTTTTATGATCATCTTTAACTAATATTCCTAAATATACAGGGTGGTCCACAAACGAGGGACTTACTAAACTTATACATTTTGAAAGCAGGTAGTTATACATATTTTTGCATAGTCTAGAATTTTAATAGACTTCATTTGCTATTTGGTATATAGGGTGTGCCAAAATGCGAGTTTAGGATTTTCTTCATTTTTTAAATGGAATACCCTGTATGTTATACCACCAATTAATTAATACGAGTATTCCATTAAAAAAATTGAGAAAATCGTAACCTTGTGTTTTGACACACCCTTTATACAACTTAGTAAATTAATGAAGTCAATTAAAATTGTAGGATGATGTAAAATATGTATAACTATCTGCAGGGTGTTTTGCTTTAAAAAACTCTAGGTTTGGTCAGCACCTCGTTTATGGACTACCCTGTATATTTAAGAATAAATTATAAGATATGGTCATACAACTTTTATATTAAGAATTTCTTTGTATTTCCAATAATAAAACAGCTATCAATCAATTACGCACTGATGGGACACCCTGTATACGTGGTATTTTCTAACATGTTAGTATCGTTGGATAGGAAAATTTATAAGGAATTTTTTGCTAAAATAATATACAGGGTGTTGCATTTGAAAAATTAAGTAAAATGGACTTAAAATTAGCCATATTTAAGACATGTTTCAAAACACTCTGTATAAAATAAACCAGTTCTATCACATTATTCGTTAGTTTGGTGTTTCAAAATTCTATATATTAAACAATTTTAAAATCCATAAAAAACTACCTAAATTATGAAAATATAATTTGAAGTCCCCATCATTCTCTAATTTCATAAAAAAAATAATTGCTTGGCAACCCTGTAATGGTTTTTAAAAAAATTCTAGGATTAAATAAAGTATTACCAAACTATTCTAAAGGGTTTTCCAATAAGAGGTGTTATTTTGATATTCAAAGGAAAATGCCATTTTTTGAGATACATGATCGAATGTTTATTTCATTATAAAGAGGAAGGTATGCCGTTAATAATGGAAAATAACATCAGATAAAAGACCACCACGACCACGCCTGCAGGACCATATCCTTTTCATGAAATTTTCCATAACCAAATCGCAAAGTGGCTGCCCTATGTCCTCGATAGCCTCACGAATTCCATCTTTGAGGTCTTGAATCGACGCTGGGCTATTGGCGTAGACCTTCTCTTTCACGTGGCCCCAAAGGCAGAAGTCGCAAGGTGTCAAATCACAAGATCTCGGTGGCCAATTGTGATCACCTCTCCGAGAGATAACACGGTGCGGAAACTTTTCCCGTAAAAGATCAATGGTTTCGTTGCTTGTGTGGCACGTAGCGCCGTCTTGTTGAAAGTAAACGTTGTCCAGATCAATACCATCCAATTCCGGCCATAAAAAATCATTAATCATCTCTCGATAGCGCAATCGATTCACCGTAACTGGTGCTCCAGCCTCATTTTCGAAAAAGTAAGGTCCAATGACCCCGCCGGACCATAAACCGCACCAAACAGTCACACGTTGAGGATAGAGAGGCTTTTCAACAATAACTCTTGGGTTTTCCGAGCCCCAGATGCGACAATTTTGCTTGTTGACGAAGCCACCGAGGTGAAAATGGGCCTCATCACTCAAGATGATTTTTCGATGGAATTCCGGATCATTTTCATGCATTTCAAGGACCCAATCGGCAAAGACACGAAGTTGTTGATGATCGGCCGGCTTGAGTTCTTGTTTTAACTGAACTTTATAGGCCTTAAGGCCAAATCTTTATGCAAAATACGGTGTAATGACGTTTTTGGAATGCGTAATTCCAAAGAACGACGAGGAATGGACAAACCTGGGTTTTCTTCAACACTTTCGGCTACAGCAGCAATATTCTCGGCTGTTCTTGAGCTACGTGCACGGGTTTTATTCTTCACATCACTAACTTGTCCCAACAGCTCGAATTTTTCCACCAACTTCTGTATTGCGGTCCGAAAAGGTGCTTCACGACGACCCAAAAATGTTCGAGTTTTACGAACCGTCTCCGCCAAATTTTCACCATTTTTATAGTGAATTTTAATAATTTCAATGCGTTTTTGAAGGGTGTATCGTTCCATTTTTATTAATGGCGTAGTTTCTACTTGTCAAATGTCAAAACATGACAGCTCCAAAAGTGACATCTACCGAAATAGCGGGCTATTCAAAATAGCACCTCTAATTGGAAAACCCTTTAGAAATGAAATAAAATACAGTGTGTCCTATTTAAAAAATATACATTTTTATTTTCCAGGCAAAAACGTAACAGCCTATATATTCAAAAATATTTTCAAAATGTGTCTTTTTGAAATCCATGTAACTTTTATTTAAAACTTGTTTGCGTACCTAAAACACAAATTGAAACATTGAGCAATTACGCACTAATGAGACACCCTGATTAATAGGACTAAACTCAGTTGCTCAAATAATAAACTAACATTACGGAATTTTTTAAATAATGAACTATTCATTATAAAGAGTGATTCACAAAAAAAAGTTTCTAAACTGAGCCATGGCCGACGAGTCATATCCGTGATAATTATTTAAAAAGAATAAGAATTGTGCGCTTTTAATTTTTCCAAAGCCTACTTTAGAAGAAACATTTTATTAAGTTATGCAAAGTATGAAGAAAGTATCTAACTTTGGTAAATTCACCAGTTGACAGTCTGTCAAAAAATTGCATTAATACACACAAACAAGTGATTTTACGACACACGTTGTACATAACGTTTTTGGGCTTGGCATATGACATATGATGGGTTATGTTTTCCGGGCATTAATAGTAATAATAATATTAATAATTGCCGTCCCTTCTACACACAAGCTCAGTCAGCTTCAGAGGTTGAAAATTATTCGTATATTTTGACAGAAGGAACAAAAATTCTGTGGATGAATTAATGTCCCAACTCATATTAGAAAATATGTAGGCATAAATCATACTAAAAGTACTCAACTTTCTCAGATTGCTCATGTGCCCATTTTAATCTTTGCCACCGAATACATTCACCGTTTGATTTTTAGTTGAGGTAACTCTTACTGCAGTGCACACACAGCTCTTCATTGCTTTTATCTTCATCTGGTTCTAATTTCTGGTTGCTGAAAATAATGTAACACTTGCTAATTTGCCTCGTTTCGGCACTTATGGTTTACGTTTGCTCTCTGGTAGTATCTTTCTCTTTTTTTTTCCTAAATATCTTCTTTGTAAGGTATACTATTAATCTTTTTTGTAACAGAAGTAATTTTTTTGTCGCTTTTGAACAACTTTGCTTGTAAAAGGGATATGTAATTCAAGCTTTTGTTTAGTTTCTCTAGAGTAATTTGCCCCAATACCCCGTTGGAATGGCTAGCAACTCCTGGCATACACGGAAAGGTAATATCTGCTCGAGAGGTTCAACTTGAACTAGGTTTATGGGACGGTGAAGTAGTATATATGGTAAGTAGGTTCTGCCAGGGTACCATCATCTTCTTTCATCTAGCGGTTCTACAGCAATAGATACTGTTAACAGCAGATACATTTTTATTTTACAATTACCATTTATTGAATTTGATTTAAGAAGTTAAATTCGTTGATACTCAATTGCTGGATTTTTTAAATATAATAATAATAATAATAATTACACATTTATTGTCCACATATAAAGTACATATAGTACAGTTTATACAATTAAAAATATATATATATATATATATAAAAAAAAAGTCAGTAGACAATTGGCCCAAATTGGTTCAGGTGCGGATATTATCCACCCCTGGTCTTCCACCAATGCCAATATGATATAAAAAAAATGCACTTTGAGATGGCTTTCTAAAATTATAAGAAACGTTTAATGCAAAGGGAAAGAAAGAGGAAAGGAAACAGAAAAGGATAAACAAAAGGAAAAAGAGAAATGAGAAAATAAAAAAGAGTAGAAATAAAAAGTAATTATTGTGTTTGCAGCAGTATATTTTTATAGCGGCATTTAAAGGTTTCTGCTTTTAAATGTAATAATGTTGGATCAATTTTTAACAGGTTATTGATATGAACTATGACATTGTAGGTAAAAGAACTTTTAAAACTAGCTTTGTAAAATCTAGGCAATCTAAGTATGGATTTAAAACGAATATTTAGGTTATGAACATCAGTTCTAAATGTTAATTTTTCATGCAAGTATGGCGGTGTCCTCATATTAAATAATTTTTGACTGAGACAAGCAAAATGTAAATTTCTTCTATTAACCATATTTAACCATTTAGTTTCTTTAAATTTAGTAGAAATGTGATCATATTTACGAATTCCAAATATTAACCGTACACAAGAATTCTGCAATTTTTGAATTCTTCTTCCAGACTCGAAAATGTTTAAACAAGGACCATATACAATATCACAATAATTAAAATTTGATAAAACTAGTGAATCACATAACATTTTTTTTGCATCTGGTGATAAAAAATATCGTTGCGCATATATTAGTTTCAAACTTGCATAAGACAATTTTAATTTTGATGTAATATGTTGTTCAAACTTCAATTTTGAATCTACAGTAAGTCCTAAGTTTTTACATTGCGTAACAATTGAGATAAACGCGTCATTAATTTTTAATAATGTCGCGGAGTTTACGGAATCCCTAATTGACTCATTACAAAAAATAATTGCTTTGGATTTTTTAGGATTAATTTTTAGTGAATGATTTTTAGATACATTAAAGATTTCATTTAAATCAGAATTAATATGCTGTATAGATTCATTTAAATTGGAGTACTTAAAAGAATAGTATAATTGGGTGTCATCAGCGTATAAATGATAATTACAGTATTTAAGTATACTTGGAAATTGTGAGGTATAGAGAGTAAATAATAAAGGGCCCAAAATACTACCTTGAGGTACACCAGATGTAATCTCCAACGGTGTGGAAGACATATTATCTATTTGAACAATTTGTTTTCGCTGGTAAAGATGATTTTAATAGAGACACAGATGTATTATTAAATCTAAAAAACTTCAACATGGCAAGTAAAATTTTATGATTTATATTATCGAAAGCTTTCGAGAAATCTAATAGTATTAAGATAGAAATCTTGTCCTTATCCATGGCTCTAATCAAATCATCTATAACATCCGCTAGAGCTGTGGCACAGCTGTAGCCTGACCTAAAACCAGATTGTTTGCTAGGTAATATATTGTTGTTTTTCAAAAACCCTCTCATTTGAATTTCCATTACTCTCTCTAATATTTTGGAAAAAACTGGTAAAATACTAATTGATCTTAAATCACTGTATTCTTCAGGTAAAGTTACTTTTGGTAAGGGCAAAACTTTAGCGAATTTCCATGATTCAGGAAAATAACTATTTTTTAAGCATTCATTAATAATGTGTGTAATAATGGGTAATAGAAATGGACAACAGAAGTGTAAAATGATAATATTAATATCATCCATTCCGTAAGCTTTAGATTTGATATTGTAAATAATATTATTGACAACATCTTCGGAAACATCATTAAGATAAAAATCTTCAGTAATATTTTCTTTAAAATTGTTAAGGTAAAAATGTTGTAAATCTATTTGTATAGCAGAGTTATTAATGTTTGAAGTAAAAAATTTGTTAATGGCAATAACATCTTTTAGGTTTGGAGGTAGGTCAATTTTTTTTTGTCTCGATATATTGAGTTTTTTTAATTCTGACCATTTTTCCTTAATATTACAAGATTAAAATTTAAAATTTAAGTAAGCCCTTTTTTCTGCTTTTATAGCTGTTGTTGTGTAGTTTCCTAATTGTTTATAGTAATCCCAATGCGTTGGAAGTTGTGTTCTGCGAAATTTTTGCAAGGCTTTATCTCTAAGCCTTTGCATATAAATAATATTTTCAGTAATCCAAGGAGAATGTTTAATTAGTTTTCTAGTTTTTGATTTTTTTGGAGCATGTATATCTAAAACGGTAATTATGTAGTTATTTAAAACTCTACTTTTTGTCAATGTTTTCAGTAAAATAAATATTGTACCAGGGCATAGATGCCAAATGATTTTGAAAATGTGCATGATTAATCTTTGTAAGTGACCTATAATCTACTTTAAAGTCGTTTTGAGGTACATTGTGAAAATTTTTAAATTTGCAGTTTATTGCTGAATGATCCGCAACTAGATTATGATTAACAAATTCTGCACATAAATTGATATTAATATTAGTAATAAATAAGTCTAACAAAGAGTTAGCCCTTGTTGGTTCTTTAATTATTTGTAATAGATCAAATGTTTCAAGTATCTTGTTAAAACGAATTGTAGTAGAATCATCAATATCCAACATATCTATATTAAAATCTCCTACACATATAATATAATCAAAATTTGAAAAAATATTGGAAAACAAAGTTTCAACTTGATCCAAAAACAATAAATTATTACCTCTTGGTTGCCTATATACAGTACCTACTGCTATTATTAAATCCGCCACACAAACCTTAATCCATAAATATTCCATAACATCATTACATTCCGAAATAATTAAATTACATCTTAGTTGCTCCCTTATATACATACCAACACCTCCGCCTCTGGTGAGTCTATCTTGTCTAATAAATTTATAACCATTTAAATGTACCAAATTACTGTCTATTTCTGGGTTTAGCCAGGTTTCGGTGACCCCTACAATGTCACAGTTCGTATCAACAACATAATTATGAAAATCAATAAAATGCGGTACTAGCGATCTAACATTTACATGGGCTACATTAAACATCAGCAAAAATAAATAAATTAGTACTTATCAATTTATTAGAATAGCGAGATTACTGTTTTGGAAGTGGTTTATATCAATCATTGTCTGCCGTCACATTCTTCTCGCTCAGAAAATCTATTAAGATGGTTTATACTCTCAGAAAATTAGTTTTTTTAAATTGCACTTTATTTCTATTTTCCATTTTAACATTCAAAACTTCTTATTAATATAGAACATTTTAAACTTTTTACTGCATCTCAAATAGATTTAACAGAAAAGGAAAATCCGGCAAATATCCATTAGATTGAAATATTGATATAAAATCTATTTTAAATCATTAATTTATCGTCAGAGTAGTTTTCGACGTTAGGACGACTAGATGAATCATTATTAAATCAGTTCTATTAAAAGCTTTAACCGAAAACCCATTTATGTATCTTTTATTAATCGACAGAAATATTTTGTAGCGTATTCAGGTGACTATGCAATGTACTTAATCTTCTTTATAAGCCATTATTAAAAATTCACCATTATTATCTCTGTCCTTGTTACATTAATGAATTTACTTAAATAAAAATGTATATTAGCTAATACAATGTGCGGTATTGTAGAGCATACATTTGATAGAACGAGTCTCCAACCAGTGTTATAAGTCTTTTGGTTCTATTTAATTTTTGATCTTAACTGGTACGCTGGGGTCTCGCGTGATCCCAAGCATTTAGAATCGTTAATAATTTTTTACTGTTTGGCAACATCGCTTTCCCCGTTTCAGTAGCTGCGTTCAGTAACTTGCTAGTTGATTTTTAAGAGCGGTACTGGTCTCATCTCACGTTTTCGAGATATTTACGTTTGGGGTCGCCGCTGACCCCAGTATACCAGTTACGTGTTGTTTTTTTTTTTTTTAGTTAGGCAATGGCAAATAAATATTTAGCAGAGCAACAATTAGACGACCTAGCCGTAAATCTAAGTGACATAGAGGAACCTACAAAACCTACTGACAATTTTTGTGTTGAATTTGACGAGGAAATTAGTGATGCGCCAACTGAACAAAGTGATCATGACTCTGCGTCTGAAGTTGAATATTCCGAGAGTAAAGATGATAATGGTGTTGCAGTGGAAGCGAGACAAGTACAAGTCAAGATAAAACTAGTTTTTATTACGGAAAGAATCGTTACAAATGGTCTAAAAAGGCACCAAATAAAAATGACCGAATTCCAGCTCACAATTTAGTAACGCACTTACCTGGAATAAAGGGGCCAGCTCGGGATACAAAACCTTCCACACCATACGAATCTTTGAAGATGCTCTTTACTGATGACATTTTACAAGTTATCTTAGAACTCACAAACGCCAAAATAGTTGGCTGTAAAATATGAAGGTAACCGCGTCTCTTATGTCGACCATCTAGATATAGTTTAACTGAAACTTATTTATTTAGCATTGATATTCAAATCTGGGCGAGAAGACGTGACATCCCTGTTCTCGACAGATGGTACTGGTAGACCAATTTTCCGAGCCACGATTTCGCAAAAACGTTTTCTATTTCTTCCAAGTGCCATCAGATTTGATAAAGCTACCAATCGGAAGGACAGAATTGCTGCTGGTGATAACTTGGCTGCAGTTTCATATATTTTGAAATATTCATAAAAAACTGTATGCTTCCTGTCGATGAGATGTTAGTAAAATTCCGAGGAAGTAGCTTTTGTATGTATATGAAAAGCAAACCTGCCAAATATGGTTTAAAAATAATGTGCCTATGATGCCAAAACTCACTATTTATTAAACGCTTTTTGGAAAAAATGTCGCAAGGCAAGAAGGCAATACAAAAAAATTCAGCGTACCCATCCTTGATGCACTAAAATTGGTATCAACAATTGAAAATATTAACAGAAACGTGACTGAAGATAACTGGTTTACATCCATTGAGTTAATAAATAAATCAAACGCTCGAAAGCTCACATAAGTTGGAACATTTAGAAAAAACAGAAGGCAGATGCCAGTTCAATTTTTGACAAACAAAAATCGAAAAGTCGGTACCGCAGTATTTAATTTTACTGGAGATCAAACGCTAGTCACTTACGTCCCTGAGAAAATTAAAGCCGTTGTTTTAGTCTCTTCGATGCATCACACGGATGATATTGATTCAGTCACTTAAAAACCTGAAACAATTGAGTTCTATAACACTACAGAAGCTGGTGTAGACAGCTTAGACCAGAAATGTGCAAGCTACTCATGTAATCAAAGAACTCGTAGATGGCCGCTGACTGTTTTTTTCGCAATTCTGAATATAGTTAGGGTTAACTCGTACGTTATTTTCAAAGGAGTTAACCCAAATTCAAAAATAAAAACACGAGAAAATGGAATTTCTCTGGGAAAGAAACTCATTTATGAACCGATATGTGTCAAATTTTTGGGGGATGTTTAAGGTTGCAGATTATGATTTTTAGTTCAAACTTAAAATAATCAACATGGTGGATCCAAAATGGCACACTTTTCTATTTATGAATCGATATGTCAGCTTGAAACTTGCGATGTTTAAGGTAGCTGATTATGATTTTTGATTCAAATCTAAAAAATGGTGGACTTTCCCATTTATGGGCCGATATGTACCAAATTTGGAACGTGAGGGTATTTAAGGTCGACGATTACGATATATTAAATCAAATTTCAAAAAATCAACATGGCTAAACCAAAATGGCATACTATTCTATCCTATCTTCTCTATATATCTTTTTTCGTTTCAGATAAAATTGTCAATTGAACTTTTGTAAGGATGAATATTCTGGATATTTGGCTTTCCAAGACGGAAAGTAGCAATTCGGAGAAGGTCCGTCAGGTTTTGGCCGATTTAACCTCTCTTTTGTCCCAAACATAAAGTGATATTACAAAAATTGGAAGGTCGAATCTCCTACCTCTGTAAGAACTTTAGCGAGTAATGGAAAAAAATTCTAGGTCGAAAGCGAAACTAGTGGCCAAGCATCTAGAATGGTTAAATATCGTAGAAATTTTTAAACTACTTCTTATGGAACAACCATCTCCGGAAGATGACGGTTGCAAAAGTACCTATAAGACATCAACAGCTTTCTGCTAATCAGGTGGCAACGACAGGTAGTAGTAAAAGATTTTTGAAAGACTTTCAAGATTGTAGTGATCGATAAAAACGCAGAAGATTGTCCGAGTCAGAAGTTAAGGCTCTACAAGATAATGTAAAAAAATTGAAAATTAAAATGGATGACATACTTTTATTGATCGTGGAATCCAAGTTGACAACACATCAATATTTGTTAGTCAAAGAATTTGTTATTTAAAAAGTTGAACCTAATGCATTTCTGTCCTATTAAAAAGTTCTTGTAGCAAAAAAATGTTATTCCCAGACAGTCTCAGAATCGTCCGCTGAAGTTGAGTTGCAATCACTTTTGGATCATACAGCATCCCGCACTCTCGAATCACAAAAAGATGTATTATTACCTCTCCCAGCTAATATCCTTGAAAAGAAGTTAACTTTAATGGGTAAATGGGGCTTTGGTGGTAGCACAGGGCATGAAGAATATAAACAAAAATTTACACATGAAAACATACACGATGAAAGCATGTTTGTAACGTCCTATGTTCCTCTACAGTTATTCTGTCAATCAGAAGCTTCTGATTCCAACATAATTGTGTTGAAGAATTTGCGTCCTTCCTCCACTCGATTTTGAAAAGTTATTCGGTTTCAATTTCTCAATGAAACCAAGGAAATTTCTATGCAAGAAGAAGCTTATTTTAAAAACAAAATTGAAAATTTAAAACCGACAATTTTTAAATATGAAGATCGCGAAATTAGAGTTCAACATTCTTTACAATTAATAATGGTTGTCAAAAATTATGTTGTTCTCTTGCTGAAACATCTTCAAGTAGGTGTTACATTTGTTATGCCCCATCAAAAAAATGAATAACATTGAATTGTGTTTAAGCAAATCTGTGGATATAAACAGTTTTCGTTTTGGTTTGTCTCCACTCCATTCATGGATTAGGTTTTTCGAATACTTTACTCATATTTCATACAGATTAGATTTTAAAAAGTGGCAAGCTCGATCAAAGGAAGAAACGCTTTTTCTTGCATAAAGAAATCTTGAATTCAAAAAATAATTAGTGAAAAGTTAGACTTAATTCTAGATAAACCGCGAAGTGGCGGAAGTGGGACATCAAAAGATGGTAATAGATAGAGCGCGAAATTTTTTTACAAATTCTGAAATTTCAGCTGAAATTACTGGTTTGGATAAATATCTCATCAAAAGCTGTTGTATTCTTCTACACTCTTTAGGATCTGGATCATTTTGCAAAATTTAAAAGTTACGCTTTAGAAACAGTTGAAGAACTTGTCAAAAATTATCCGTGGTACTACCTACCTGCTTCAGTGCATAAAATTATCCTCTATGGGTCAGAAGTTATTGATCGTGTACTCCTATCCATAGGGGAACTTTTGGAGGAAGCTGCAGAATTTTTGAACAATTATTCAGACGCATCAAGACAAGAAAAATAGTTCGTATTCATGCAAACACAAACAAAATTACCAAAAAGTAGTAAGTCAATTTTATTACCAAAAATATTTGATTTATTAGAAATGGGCGGGTAATATAAAACATGTAATTTAGTTATAAGTTTAAAAATATTTATTTTTCTTACAATAAAGGTAATTTATTTTAAAACTATTGAAACTTTCATTTCTTGCTATTTCTAAATTTTATGACTTCAAAATGCTCCTTTATAAGTACCTTATTTTCCTTATGAATTTATTATATGCAATCAAAAAAAATCCTTTCCCTGACATAAAATATAATTCCTATAACAGAGAAATGTTTTATCTGCTTTTATTGTAATTAATGGAAATTTATTTATTCAAGGAAAAATTGTACCTGAACAATTCATTATTTTCAGAATCTTAAGCAACCAAAAAATATGTTGTTTCATGTTAATTGATATAATTAACGTATTATATCCCTATTATTGCATTGTCATTGGACCTTTGTAAGTATACCAAATTTTATTGAAATCGGTTAACGGGAATTTTCTTAAAAACGCGTTGCAAGATTTGACTGATAGTTGACAAGATTAAGAGGCGGCAGGCGGAATTTACCATTTTTACTTTCCTATCTTTATACAGATATAAGGAAAGTATAGGAATGATGATTTTTATTTCTTAGCACATAATTGAAATAATATAATATATTTAAACATTAAGGCAAAATCTAGTTGAATTGAATTCAACATGACAAAACCACTCAACCACCGCCTTTCAAGAGTTGACAAGTTTTTCGGCACGTGGCAACACGACTGTACAGGAAACAACAATTTTGAAACCAAGCGAAACAAGATCTAACAGCCCTTTTTAACTGCATATAAAAAAGAAGTATACTTAAAACAATGCATTATTTGCCACTAGACTTCGGCTGGTGCGAAATAAAATAAAATGCATTTTATTTTTTTAAGCCAGTGACGCACAAGGGGGGAATTTCAAAAATTAGAGTTTATATCAAAAATGGCTTGTGAGGTATCAAATGAAAGGTAATTAAGTCTGGAGTTAAATAAAATGCATTTTATTTTTTTAAGCCCGTGACGCACAAGGGGGGGAATTTCAAAAATTAGAGTTTAAATCAAATCATGGCTTGTGTGGTATCGAATGAAAGTTAATTGAGTCTGAAGTAAAATAAAATACATTTTTTTAAGTCAGTGGCGCACAAGGGGGATTTCAGAAATTATAATTTAAATCAAATCATGGCTTTTTTGATATCAGTATTATCTTTTATTTTAATTAATTTGTTTCAGAAACCAAAATATCCGATGCTACGAGAAAACCCTCTGGGAGTGAATTTAAAAGGCGGAGATTAAACAAGCAAACACAGCTTAAAAAACAGTCAGATGTGCTGCAGAACTTCTTGAAAGAAGGTAGTTTTAACGCTCCCACAACCGACCAACATTTGAACAACGCCCACCACCTAGATACTGACTTTCCGGATATGGACCTCCCTTTGGACGCAACCGTTAGCATTACTGAGCTGGGTAAGTCATCTCAACTGAGTTTGGCAAGTAGTGATGCAGTTCCGTGCAGTTCCAAAAAACAAAATTTGCAAGTTGTGCAGACCTCAGAGAAACATTTAGAAAAGGCTACCGTCCAAAGTATCTCTTCTGACCCAGGATTATGGCCCAAAATCGTGCATGCAGCAGATAGAGGTTTTTTAGTTAAACGTGGTCCAGCTGCTTCTTTTTTTAATTTTGTTTTTCCTTTTGATGATCAGCATAGAATATTCTCAACAAAACATTACAAGAAAAGGCTTAGAAATGGAGAAGAGGTTTAAAGAGAATGGATGGTATATTCCGTATTTCAAAACGCTTTGTACTGTTTTCCATGTCGACTTTTTGCTGCACCATCTAGCTTGAGCGCTCTTGGCAATCGGGGATTTAAAGACTGGAAGCATTTAGAGGACTCTTTAGCACATCATGAAAATGCCTAAACTCATATAGTTTGTTTGAAATCATGGCTTGAATTGAAGCAAAGATTAAAAATAGGTGAAACAATAGATGCAGTTTCTCAGAGACTCATTGATTCTGAGATAAATCACTGGTCTGAAGTTTTTTTACGCATTATATTAGTCGTTAAAATGCTAGGTGAGAGTTCTCTAGCTTTTCGAGGAACAAGCGATAAACTGTATGAACACAATAATGGAAAACTTTTGAAGTTATATCAGTTATTGGCTGAGTTTGATCCAAAAATGGGGGAACACGTTCGCAGAGTCCTCAATAAAGAAGAAATCAAAGCTACATATCTAGGGAAAACTATACAAAATGAAATAATTGAATTACTGCATGAAAACATAAAGCACCACATCATTGAGCAAGTTCAAAAGGCCAAGTATTATTCCGTGATTATTGACTGTACTCTCGATGTAAGTAAAATAGAACAGATGACATTTGTGGTAAGATTTGTCTCCATACAGGAATCAGAGTCTGAAGTTCAAGTTAATATCAATGAACATTTTTTGGGTTTTCTACCCATTGAGAGATCAACAGCTAAGAAATTGTCGGAGGTTTTATTAGAGGAGCTAGATAAAAATAGGCTTAAAGTAGAAAACATGCGCGGTCAAGGGTATGACAATGGTTTTAATATGAGAGGAGAAAAATCGTGAGTACAAACAAGAATCAGAAATATAAACCCCAGAGCATTTTATGTTTCATGCAGCAGCCATTCCCTAAATTTGGTTGTAAACGATATGGAAAAAACCTCGTTTGAGGCAGCCAACTTCTTCAATATTGTTCAAAAGGTATATACATTTTTTCTTTCTCTTCTTTTAGTTGGGCAATATTACTGAAATATATTGATACCCTAAAAGTTATGCGGTTTCAAATTGGTCCAATTCACGATGCTTTGTATAGCATATATGAAGATTCAGAAATCTATAATATGATCAGAGACAAGGCTAGCGGATTAATAAATAATTTAAATCAGTTCAAATATATATGCTCTGTTGTGATCTGGTACAAAATTTTGAGTCATATTAACCCCATCAGCAAACTTTTGCAAACTGTAAATTTTAATATGTCGCAAGCTATTGATATGCTTAATAACTGCAAACTCTTCCTTGAAAACCTGAGATCAGATGAAGCTTTTAAAAGCATCATTTTAGAAGCAACCGAGCTTGCTTCAAAGATTGACGTTGAAGCTAATTTCGAAACCAACACACCACGTCATCGTGTCAGAAGCAAAACAAGAACGTTTTTGTATGAGAGCCCGGATGAACCCGTTTAAGACCTCAAAAAAAAATATAACAGATTTTTTTTCACACTATAGAGCAAGCAATAAATGACTTGGAAATCAGATATAATTTGCTAAATACTCACAGTAATTATTTCAGCTTTTTGTATTATACTTTTGATCTAAAAGGCATGCCCAGAAATGAGCTAGTGGCTCATTGCAAAGATTTGGAAGTGGTTTTAACTGATGGAAATTCAAGCGATCTTAATGCCCTGAAACTAGCCGATGAAATAAACATTGTTTCGTCATTATTAACAAAAAAGGAAACCCCTGTTGAAGTTCGCAAGTTTATCGCTACACTTAAATTCGCATAGCATTAAGAATCCTACTTACATTGCCAGTCACTGTGGCTTCAGGGGAAAGAAGCTTTTCAAAACTAAAAAAAATTAAAAATCTCAGAACGATGCAGACGCAAAATCATCTCAATGGATTGGCAATGATAGCTATAGAACACCAAATTAGTGATAAATTAGACTTGAAATCACTGGTTCGTGAGTGCCAAAAGAAAAGTTAAAAAATGGGCATTTTAAATACTTTGGTTAGTTAGAATTTATTTATATTATGGGATATTATTTTAGTTAGCATTACTACATTTTAATTTTTGTTATTTTGACTTAAGGTAGTTCACTCGTAAAACGGCTTTTCTTAAAAATTCAATCAAATTGAAATATGAGGTTAATGAAAGTGTCTTTTATATACTTAAAAAAAAAATAAAAAAATTTGACCGTCTGTAAAACGAGATATTAACAATTAAAATGTGCATAATTAACACTCTTGAAGCCCTGTCATGTACACAATCATTGCATTTATTTCAATATATCTCGAAAACGGTTCTTACCATATTTTTTTAAAAACTAATTTAATGTAAATCAAGAAGTTATAACATTTTCTAAAAAAAACGCTGAATTTTTTTACCGTTTTAATAAAGAAATATAGATTTTTAAAATAAAAATGTTCTTAAAGCAGTCGACGCATAGTGGCGTATTGAGATTACAACTTGGCAACGTTGTAATCGATACACTCAATGCCCGCTAATTCAAATGTCTGTTAGATCAGTGCTTCCCAACCTTTTTATTGTCGCGGACAGGTCAAGTTTATCACTTTATCGAGGCCTTCTGGGAAGGGACGTTGTTTATACTTTAGGTTGATGTGATTTAACACTTTAAATTTAGTTGTATTCAAACATGTCTTCAAAATTAAATAAATACACAAAAGATGAATATAATTTTAATTAAGGAGGTCCTTTGGCCACACCTCTCGCCTCAAATGTTAAAAAAAAGTTATTATATTATGACTAAAATTAATTTTTTTCTAATAGTTGAAGTCCTTATTTATCTAATACTGAACTTTTAACTATACCTTACCTTGCAAATTTTTGAGAATTTTTTTTTTAATGTGAGTATTTGTACAGTGCCTCACGAGAAAGTAAATCATCAACAACAATTCTCGAATTATACTATTATTTATTGATTAGATGGAGTAGAAAAAAACTAAAAATAAGGTTTTTGAAATATTTAGATTTTGTTTTATACAATAAAATATATATAGTAAACCGTGGAACTTATTGAGAAATTAATATTAAAAAATCACAAAAAATTTTCAAGTAACCTAATTGAAAAGTTTTTGGAATTTTTTTAATAATAATTTCTCAATAAATTCCACGGTTATCTATATATTTTATTGTAAAAAACAAAACCTAAATATTTCAAAAACCTTATTTTTAGTTTTTTTCT